GTATGCCCGATGGCCAGTCCAGCTATGCCCCACAGACAGACTGAGGCCCCGCCGCTATTTTTTGGTAAGTAAAATGTGTTTGTGTCCACTGTCCTTAGCTAGGTCCTGAAATCTAGGCAGCTAAGATGAGAAGTGGGCTCTTCGGGGAAACTTGTTTTGTAAAGTTGGTTTAGCTAATCCGTAGAGGCGAATGAATTGAGCGTGACTAAAGAAATGATGAGAAAAGCACTGGGTTGCTCTTTTGTTCAGTCATTGATGCTAGCTAAGAGGATGTAATAAAGGCAAGGTAACAGAGATCAAAAAGGAGTGGTTGTTGAGAAATAAGTGGAGAAAGAGGTGTGCAGGAAAAAAAAACAGGTGTGAGTGTGTAAAATTTGGTGAGTATTTGAGTGCAAAAATGTGTGGTCTCCAGCTAATGGAAAAGGCTGGTCGCGCGATGTGCACGTTGCGCTCTTTAAATATAAGAATTTTCCCCCTTCTGTACGCCTGTCATGTGGCGACATGTGGCGGGCTAGCAGGTTAGTAACATACAGGCCTGGGTTCGAGCCCTCGGCTCATTTGGCTCTGTGTGTTCATCTGCTAGGGGGAGATCCAGGCAGGTGATCTTGGAGTGAAAATTTCAAGGGATGAACCTTGTTCAGCCTGGGCTTCCCCTGACTTTTTGTTTTGTTTGTTTTTTCTTTTACCTGCCAGCAACAAACAGACCTCCTTGTTGTCATGGCTACCAAGGACCACTCTTCTTGTGCCAACAAGTCATTGCCTGACAAAACATTATTTCCTATGTTTCCCTGTGTTTTTTTTTTTTATATCTCCAATATCTTTACATCTCTTGCATCTAGCAACAGGGTTTACAAACGCCTTATCCTCTTTGTCCACTTAAAATATCTTTACACAACTATTCTTATATTTCTTGCAACATCTGCTGTCCTCTTGCCCACATTACTCTTCAAAAACACTTTTGTAATGTCAACCACATTTTTGGAACTAGATAAATAAAGCATATATAAAAGTCACTACCAAAAACTCATTGCGGCTTCTACCTTGTTATAGGAATGTTGTTTGTGACTCAACAGGACTTGATTTCCAACCCTGTTGGAGTCCTGGTTCAATAAGCCGTCCGTTTGTGAGATAAGTCAATTGTTCCTTTCTTCCTAGTACAAACATATTGTTGTACTAGGAAGCAAAAACTTTTCTGTGATTAATCTGGCAGATTTGAGGTTTTTGTTTTAGTGATAGATTGATTCTGATAGGTAGGTTTGGGTTGTTTTTCCCTTTCTAAGAGAGAAAGAGTTTTTCTATACGTAGACATGTCTGGAATTGGGCCTAATATTTGTGTAACTGTGCACTTAGAGAAAACCTGTCAGGTGTCAGCCCTCTGGTGATGGTGTTTTGTGTGTTGATGATTTAATAGTCAGCTCTCTTTTAAGCAGGCCTGCAAGATGGGAATTAAAAGCACCATAAAATCTGTCATTGAGAGCAAATATACTGCGAGCTTCTCCAGATTACAATGGGCTTCAGAGGAAATTCACCTGCCTAGGATGCTGACCATATTAGATGGTAAGTGTCTAAAAGGATTGTAGCGATTGAGTCTATTCCTAAATCATAGTGAACTGTTTTTATTTTTGTAATGACGTCATATTGCTGTGGGTGGATGAGTGTGTGTGGGCCCTGCAGACTTAACC